GAGGGAAACAGCTAGCAAGACCAGGGATTGCAAGGATGAACAGCCACTACCAGATGGTAGGAGAAGCAAGGATGGTTCTACCCAGTGTTTCATGGGAACGTGGCTGTGTTGATACCTCAATTTTTAATATCTGGCCTCCAGAATTGTGAGAGAATAAATTTCTACTGGACTTTTTTTTCCCAGACAGTCCTGGGAAATTATTACATCCTATTATGGTTTATATCTAGCTGTCCCCCAAGAACCTTATGTGTTCATAGTTGGGGCTTATGGAGAGTGATGGGATTATAGGGGTTCAGAGCAGACTTGCTTTTAGGAGTTCCGAAGAGGTGAGTCACTGTGGGAATGACAGTGAGTTTATCTCCCTTTCCTGCTCTTCCCTTGGCTCTCTGCTTCCTGGACACCATGAGATGAGCCGCTCTTCCTCTGCCATACCCCTGTGCCATACCATCCTGTCTGGGAGCCAGTCAACTATGGACTGAGACTGAAATATGAGCCGAAGTAAACCTCTCCTCCTCCTTTAAGAGCTGTGGATGTCAGATGTTGTGTCTCAGCCATGAGAAAGTGACTGAGACACATGCCTCAAAAATTTTTAAAAATTTGTAGTAAGAAAGAGAAATAAAACTTTACAGACACAATCTAAGCTTGCTTTGTATTCTTCCCAGAAAACTTTCTTTCTTCACAGAGATAACCATCCTTAATTTCGTTTTTCCATTTTATTGTTTACTTTTATACATTTGCTATGTATCATAAACATTGTTGCTTTTCTTTGTTTACATTTATTGGGATAAAAATAGAAATTCCTAACTTAGGTCTCTTTTTTAATAAATAAAAATGTATACATTTAAAGTATACAATATGCTGACTTGATATATGTTCACATTATGAAATGACTATTGTCATGAAATGAACAAACATATCTATCACCTCAAATTGCTATCTTGTATGTACGGTGAGAAATCTTAGGATCTACTCTCTTCACAGATCTTAAGTATATAAACGGTAGTATTCACTGGATTCATTAGCTGTCCAGAACTTATTCATATTATCACTGGAAATTTGTACTCTGACCAACATCTCCCCATTTTCCCAATCCCCTGGCAACCACAACTCTCCTCTATTTTCATAAGTTCAATTTTTAATATTTTTTAGTATTCTTTTTAATATTCCACATAGAAGTGCCATCCATATAATATCTGTCTATGTGGCTTGGCTTACTTAACACAATGTCCTCAGGCTTCATGCATGTTGCTGCAAATGGCGAGATTTATTTATTCCTGATAAATGAACAGTATTCACTGTGTATATGTAACACCTTTTTCATGTATTCATCTGTTAAGGGACATTGGGCTCCCATACCTTGACTATTGCAATTAACGCTGCAATGACTGTGGGAGTGCAGATAACTCTTTTACATACTGATTTCACTTCCTTTAGATATGTATCCCGAAATGGAATTGATGGAAATTGGCACAGAAATTATGGAACTTGGTACACCCATTATGGAAATCTTAAAAAACTAAAAATAGAACTATGGTGTGACTCAGCAATCCTGCCTCTGCATATTTTTAAACTTTCTATTAACAGAATATATTGCATTTATTCTTAAATGACTTGTTTTTCACTTGATTTGCATTTATAAGATGAGTCATGTCATGTGCAGCTCTTATATACTAATTTGTGTCACTGTAGGGAATTCAATTTTATGAACAAAGTAGAATTTCTTTAAAATCTAACTGTACTATTAATGGGACATTTAGGATATTTCCTATTTATTTACTGACTTTTAAATTTTGCTTTTACTGCTATAAACATTTTGAACACGTGCAATGCTTCTTAAGGATATATATATTTAAGAGTGGGATTTCCTAGGTCTTAGAAGATTTTTTTCTTTCTTTTTTTTTAAGAAAGGCTTCTGTTACATCCTCCAACTCATGGTCCCATTGCCTCCACTGCCTGTGCTGAGATAACAGGCATGTACCACCACTAGGGGCTAGAAGATGTATGTCTTAAGCTTGACAAGAAAGTATCTAATTGCTCTGGGAAGTGATTTCTCCAGTTTAAACTCACAAGAGTATAAGAATTTCCATTGCTTCACATCTTCTGTGACAACAGTCAGGCGTCTCACTTCCTTTCATTTTCCGTTTTGTTGTGGTGCTAGAGACCAAACCCAGGGCTTGATGCATGCTAAGCAAGCCCTCTACCAGTGAACATCCCATCTGATCTGATAGGAAGAAGCAATTTACTATGAGGCAGATGAAATTTAAGCTTAAGACCCATTCATTTGCATGATCCTTTTTGAAGACCCTGTAGCTAATTTTCCATTTGAAATTGTAGTCTTTCTCCTTAAAGTGAGATTCACAAACTGCATAAGCTTCAAGCCCCACCAAGTCCATATACAATCTTGCTGACAGATGTGAAATGTATATTGCTGTGGCTTTAATTTACTTGTCCTTGATTAGTAGTGTAATTGAACTTCTTTACTTAGGTTAATTGGCAGGTCAAGTTTTCGGTAAACTTAACCTTTTGTCTTATTAATTTGTAGTTCTTCCTGTTTCCTGGATACTAATACTTGTAAATACTTAATTTGCTTTGATTGTTTGTTTTGTTTGTTTTTTGAAATAGGATCTTACCATGTAGTTCAAGCTGGTCTTGAACTGACTATGTAGCCCAGGCTGGCCTCAAATTCAGTGATTCTCCTGCCTCAGCCTGCTAAGTGCTGAAATTACAGGCATATGCCAGCATACTTGTAATTAATAATTTAACTAAGGCAAACAGCTTGTCCAGTCTTCACTTTTGTTACAGTGTTTTTCATTTTAATGATGCTGGCTTTATCTGTGTTTTCCTTTATATTCTGCACATTTTTGCAACTTAAATACTTTCATGCCAATGACTTTTTTCCTTTTAAAAGTTAACATTTTTGCTTTTTTATATTTGGGTCTTTAGTCAACTTGAAAAATTCTAAGTCTGGTGTGAAATCGATATTTAAATTCTGTTGTTTCATCTGGATAGCTGTCTCAGCAGCATGTAATGAATGGTTCATCCTTTCTCCACTGAAGGTGGTCTCCATCCTGTATCACTTCACAGGTTACGTTTCTAAGACTCTTGTTCTGTTGTATTCATGAAAATATCTCAGTGGCACTGTCCTAGTTATATAGCTTTTTATTAAGTCTTTATACCAGGTAGAGTAGGTCTCCCCATTTTTTTCTTCTTTGAATTGTTCTGATTTTGCTTTGCTTTTTGTGCCTCCATATAAATTTGGGACAAGTTTATCTAGCTCTATGGAAAGAGATCTAGATTTTTATTGGAATAACATTTAAATCATACATTAATTTGAAGAAAAGTCTTGATATTGAGCCTTCATGTCCATGAACATGTATGGCTTTATATTTTTTCATTTTATTTTTATCACTTGATAATGCTTTGCAATTTTCTCCAGAGTATTCTTATATATATATATTTTTTATTTTATTAGAGCATGTTAATAGTACATGATGATGGGGTTTATTGTGGGAAGTTAGTACATGCATTTAACATATCTTAATCATTTCAATCCCACTACTCCATCCATTTCCAGATTTATTCCTATTATTAATGTTATCTTTATATTATATTTTCTATTTGATTATTTTAGCTTATAAAATGCTATTGACTTGTCTTTATTCAGTTTGCATTCATTAACATTGTAAAAGTCCCCATTTGTTCTAAACATTTTAATTTGATCCATGGTTCTGAAACTTTTTTATGTTCAGTATTTTCCAGTTCTTTTAGTAATCAAACCTAGGTACAAAACTTGATCAATCACAGTAGTTCTGAATAAATATGTTAAATACTTGTTAAAATAATCAAAAACAGTATTATCTGGTAGCTAAAGAAATGACAAAATTAGGCTGCTTGAGTTCTTACTGACTCCAACGCTTAAAACAAATCTCACTATACTCATTTGTACACTAGAAATAAAAATACTATTGTGTTTATGATTATTGTGAGGATTAAATGGGATAAACCCAGTAAGATATTTTGCACAGTTTCTGGCCCAAGCATAGATTTAAAGTTAGCAGTTATGATTAAAAGCATGAGATAAATGACACCATAGCTAATTCAATTACATAGCATGTGCGTGAATCAGATTTTATAAAATAGGCTAGATTAGTTTCTAACAAAGTCTAATGACCTGTCCAAATTCTTTTGGAATTGTGTTATACCAAATATAATTCAAGTATGTATATTTGTAGTGGGACCAAACATCCCCAGCATTTTTTTTTTTTTTTTTTTTTTTTTGGTACTAGGGATTGAACTCCAGCACCACTGAGCTAAATCCCCAGGCCCCAGACCTTTTTTTTTAATTTTTTGAAACACTGTTTCATTAAGCTGCCTAGGCTGGCCATGAACTTGTGATCCTCCTGGCTCAACCTCCCACCTAGCTGGGATTACAGGAATATACCACTACTCTCAGCCTCAACCAGTAATATTGTTTTGTTTTGTGATCAGTTGCTCTGTTGTTGATTCATTCTAGGTGCTGGGGATGCAAAAGAAGATAGTTAAGTTCCTTCCCTATCTGGCGTTTTCAACCAAATAAAGAAGCCAAACACTACACGATTATGTAATTGTGTGTGTGTTCTTAATTATGATACAATATATTTTTTAAAAGCACAAGATGCTGTGAGACAATACTACAAGGGGGTTATTGAAATCAGAAGTCAAAGGGCTCAGATTTGGATGTGTGAAGTTTGAGGTTCTGTTGGGCATCCAAGTAATGACGTTGAGCAATTACTTAAATAATGGTTCTTGAGGGCTAGAGTTAGAAATCTGAAAGACACTATAAACCATGGGGCTCTTATTTAGGCTAAGAGGAGAGAGAGCAGAGAACAGAGCCCAGAACAGAACCTAGGGGAAAGGAAATGCTAACGAAGGAACTAATAGAAGGGTCGACAATGAAGTATGAATTGAAAAATGAAGTGTGGTAAAAACATTTTTTAATATTTTAGAAACAGGTGATTTCTCTGCAGTCAGTGAAGCCACCTGGGTTCCTTGGATGGTGGATGCCCAGAGAGCAGTGGCTGTGAACTGCAGCCTTCTCAGTAGTGTATGCAGCCTGGTGCTTGTATGTGCCACCCTAAGGGACCTTAGAGACACCATTTCCTGTGGATGGTTGTGTATCTGATCTCCTGCCATCCTCAATCTAGGCTCCAGAGAGGCATGCGGGTGCCTTCAGGAAACCCCACAGGATAGTGGCAGGTCATTGTGTCCATACCAACCAAGCTGCAGAACAAGGAACATGTGAAAGAGGCCTTACACGGGCCAAGTTCAAATTCCCTGGCCACCAGAAGAACCACATCTGAAAGAAGTAAGCCTTCACCAAGTTCAATGCAGACAAATTTGAAGACCTGGTGGCCAAGAAGCGCCTCATCCCTGAGGGCTACAGGGTAAAATACATCCGGAATTGCAGGCCCCTGGACAAGTGGCAGGCCTTGCAATCCTGAAGGCTTCCACCGTGCAGCCCTCCTCTTCACAACGAGTTCTTCAATAAATCTCATCTCTGCTCCCTCCTAGGAGATTCCAGGAGGAGGAGAAGCAGGGTCAAACACTAAGAGGTTAAGTAAAATGAGGATTGGAAATACCCACTGACTTTAGCGATAGAGGGTTAATAGCTCGTAGCAAGAGCAGCAGTGGGAAGAGAATTAAAAAGGAGAGGCCTGCTGCCTGGAGTTGAAGAAGCCTTTCTAATAGGACCTTTATCATACTTGGAGTTAACTTGTACCTCACTGTCTCACAGCTGCTAAGAGGTCCATGGAATCACCTGTCAAGAAACAACACCTCTTCACTCCCATCTAGACCAGTAAGGAAAATGTCAGGGAGATAACCTTTGCACTGATTTTTTTTTTTTTACATCTGTTGTACAAATCTCTGCAAAAATGAAATACTGAGTTAACTTGTACCTCACTGTCTCACAGCTGCTAAGAGGTCCATGGAATCACCTGTCAAGAAACAACACCTCTTCACTCCCATCTAGACCAGTAAGGAAAATGTCAGGGAGATAACCTTTGCACTGATTTTTTTTTTTTTACATCTGTTGTACAAATCTCTGCAAACCAATGAAATACAAACACATGCAAGTGCAATGGGTGGTTTAATCTCACAAGGAACTTGAGGAAGCTGTTGTCATCATCGCTTCTGCTGGTCAGAGTCTCAAAGGTCAAGACCACATTGGAGTCTTTCCATTATTGTAAAAGTTAATGAAAGTTAATTATTAAAGCTGACAGAAAGATAATTTGCCCCCTGCCTTACATAACCTATATATAGACATCCTCATACATATGGATGCATACACAGCCTATAGACCCAGGAAGATGGACACTGCCTCTTAGGACAGGATTACTTTATCTCACAAGTTTTCTATGGTTGCTGAAGCTTCTTGCTGAGTGTGTTTCAGGTAGGAACCATATTTATAATCATTTTTCTAAAGTTGATTTTCTATTTCTTGAAAATGTTTTTTTTTTGATCAAAGCCTTTTTAGAAGCTATTGCTATATTTTTCTAGTTTATTCCATGAACATGAATATTTGAATGACTCCACTCACTGGCTAAAAATGTATCTCTAGGACACTGACGATGTGAAGCAAATATTTGAGTAGGCTTTTAGTTACCAAGTAAGTGGTCATGTGCATTGCTAAGGCTTAAATGGCCTTTTCAGAGATAGCAGTGTTTTTACCTTAATTATTCAGATAATTCCTTTAATTCTCCACCCAAATCTGACTTTATAGGTAGATCGTCTGCTCTGAAAGTTTGCAAACAAAGCAGGTATTTAGGAAAAGTTTTCTCCAGGAAATAGAATCTTATGTTAGAAGGGATTTAGGAAGACAACCTAGTCTAGATGTGAGGGCTTTATCTACCAGAAACTCCAGAAAGTCGAAAAGTGAAGAAGGGAAAGGAGAAAAGAGAATAGAAGAATACAGGACAGAGTGAAAAGGGAAGAAAGGAAGGAAACAGCAGGAGAGAGCCCTATGCCAGAAATAGTATTAGATCAGCCAGGGCTAATGACCCTGTAGTGCTCACCCTAACAAGATGCAATCTAGTTCATTGTTTAAACTGTCAGAAAAACATTACAATATTTTTCATATGTACATGTGAGAAGCAGTGCATTAAACCATAACTAAATCTCCTTTCCAAAGTAAATTTGTCAGTCATACAAACAGTGTAGTGAATGTTGGCCGTATAAAGATCATTCCTACTGAGAAATTAGGGAATATCTATTTGATCTCAGAAACAAGTAGTTTGGAATGGGTTGATACATACTTTGCCTCCTTCCTCTGAATAAATGAATAACATATAAATAAATAAATGTATAAAAATTGACTAAATAGCTCAAATTTAATGAAGAAACAATACAGTTCACAAAATGAGCATGGATATTTTTAAATTAATGGAATGACTAGAGCATAACATAATCCTAGGTCTTCTCCACAAGGAAGGTCTTTGTTTCTCCAGACAAAGAGAAAATGGAAGCTCCCCCACCCCCAGCCTGGGTTTCACCCTGTTGAGATACAAAAGGGAGAATAAACTAGGTCACTTCAAGAAGGTGGAAGCCAGGTGTGGTGGCACATACCTGTAATCCCAGTTCTCGGGAGGCTGAGAAAGGAGGATTGCTGCCAGTTCCAGGCCAGCATGAATTAGTAGTGAGGCCCTGTATCCAAAACAAACAAACAAAAAAAGATGGAGCCCCAGATTCACATGTTTTTTGTGGGGCTCTATACTCAAGGATAAGGGCCTTGAGTTCTGTCCTCTGGCCTCTTCCCTCATGAGGTCCCCACATTAACATTTGGTGGAGGGAATTAAGTGGACTGAGACAGTTGTTCACAAAACTTGGCTCCTCATCCAGGTTTTGTAAATAACCGAGATTGGGAAGCAGAGAAAAACACGTGGTAGGGAGAGTTAGGGATTCACAACACCTGGCTTCCTGGCCCGGCTCTGTCACTTGCTAGCTAGACGCTTGAGAAAGTCATTTATCTCCTTTCATCTCACTTTCTTCATTTGTAAATTGTCAAAAATTATACCTGCCTTTTCTGCATGCATCACAGGGTGAAAAGCCCAAGGAAGAAAACAGAAAGTACTCAGAAAGCTGCAAAGCCTTAGAGAAATGGCCAGGGAATCTCTCTTTTCTTTTCTAAGCCCAAACTGAGCTATGGTTCACCTGAACATCTCGCTAATGCTTGAGCCTTTGGGCCAACGAAGTCTTTAGTTTTATTTTTGGATCTCTTACTATCCTTTGAACACAACTCACTCATTTCCCCTTGCTTTCTCGTCAACCTTTCCAAACGTAACTATTCTTTAACATCTACCTCAAGACCCACAGCTCCTTCACGAAATCTTCCTCAACTCCAACTCACAAGCACATCCCCCTTTCTTTCAATTTACTGTCTATACCAATCATCTGGGGGGTACTTCTCCCTTGTGTATGACTCCCTTGGAGTTCACAGCTGCAACACGAATATACCTTTTGCTCATAGTTCATTTGTTCTGACAAACCTTCTTGTGCACTTACTATGTTACGGGACCTTGCCAAAGCAGTAGAAAGCAAATTGAGATCTGCGCCTTTCCATTGGAGAACTTAGTCTTACAGGGGAGAGAAATATAAGCAGGTGATAATAAAGCGCAATATGGAATAGAAATATGTTCAAGGTACTTACAGGAAGGAAATGATTAACTATCTGAGGGACTCTATAAAGCTTTACAACATCTTCTTATCTTGAACAACCAAGTTCCTGACAAACAATTAATGTCTGTTGAAGGAGTGAAGAAATGAATCAATGGTCAGGGACAGCTGAGTGCTTTTAAGCACAGATTGGAATCTTAACAGTGTCGCAGAACACAGATAAAGGAGATAATGTGTGTGAAGACTTGGAGATGCTAAATATGGTGTATTAGGGACCTCCTATATGCATGGAGAAGGACTGAAGAAGTTTGTGAGACAGGTTAGAGCCAAAATAGAAAGGGCCCTGCATGCTGGGGTAGAAAGTTGAGATAGGTAGAGCCTTGTAAAATTATTTTAAAATAAACTAGGGTGAGGATGGAGAGCTGACGCCTGTGGAGATAAGCCCAGAGCAAATACGATGTCCTAGAAAAGTTGACTCCACTATCTTTCCAACAGGTCCTGGTGGATGTTGTCATGGAGGCACAGGTGTAAATTGGGTCTACATTATCAATATTAGACTCAGTGCTGCCCTGTTATCTATACAGTCAAGGCTTAAGTCTCTCCTTTCATACCTTAACCTTCTAACCTTCTTACTTTGACAATAGCCCTATAAGAAAGACAATGGCCTCCCCTTTCTAACTATTGGAAAATCACTTGCTCAGACAGTAAAGCAATGGTCAAGGAAGGATTTGAAGCCAGGTCTCTTTAACTGCCAAATTCTCACTCTTTTCTGCTGCACCTCCTATTCTAAATAGGTTTGACTTCATTTTTTAGCATTATGGGTAATTTAGTGTTAGAATCGATAGAAAATAATAATAAGTTAGGTCTAAGCTAAAGCTAAAACTGAGCTAACTTCCTAGAAGATGATATCACTGCTTATTAAGATACGTAAACAGGCATCTTGAACTAGCAATGAGAGACACATGTCATATTCTTATCTACAAAGGACACTGAACTAAAGATACTCGTATTATCCATATTAATTTGGCCAAAGGAAGAAAACCAAGAACACTTCCTTTAGCCATCTTATCTTGGTCACTGGGGAGCCCCTTCCCTACTCCCAGAATCTTCACCCCAGTCTCATCACCCCGAAACATTCTATGTCAGCTTATTTGCACTCCCCAAGAAATGACTCTGCCTTCGAAAGCAATCTTCAATGTGTTTGTGAGATGCCTGTCACCTTCACGTGATGAGCACTACACGGCAGTAAACAGAGGTGCTTTCTGTGTCCTAAATAATAATGGGCCCATTTATTACTCCCTCAAATACAGTGGACCCTTGAGTTATGACTGGCCTGACATACAAACATCTTGGGTTATGACTGGACTTTTAGTTTTAACTTACAACCACAGTATTGAGTTACAACCTGAATGCCAGCTGCTGTGCCTGCTGATGGTCTCAGATGCAGATTTAACCCTTAAAGAGTTCTGGAAGGAACACTGCGACA